GATCTAATTCTTTTGTTGAAGTTCTTATTTCTGAATCTTAAAATGCAAATTGGTTTAGTGTCAATTTAATTGAAGTCCACTTGAATGGATCTAACCATTGTCGGTTCGTATTATCTATATTTGTTGATATTATGGAAATTGTGTTGAATTTTTCTTAGTGTACACACCATGTACACAAGTTATACATGGTATAAAAGTAAAAAAAAAATTCTCACTTTCATAGTTTCCCTTACTCTCTTTTCTCGGTTCTCTCTCCCTTCTCTCTTCCCCCTCTCTCCCTTCTCTTTTTTTTTCTTTATCTTCTTCATCCTATTCTTTCTTTCTTCATCCTTTTCTTCTCTACCCTTTTATATCAAATATTTTTCATTATTTGTTCAAAATCAGCTTATTCATCTTATTTCATATGTTTTTATTTTTTTTCTAATTTGTTTCAGATTACATGTAAATTGAACACACATATAACTACATCATTCATTTGGATGTATATAGAAAATTAATTTTTTTTGTTCACCCAAACAATTAAAATTGATCACACCGACAACTAAAGTTAATCACACAGACAACTATTGTCTGTGAAACGCACAACTATTGTTTGTGTGGTAATTATTGTCTGTGTAACATGAAAATATTGTCTGCGCACACAGACACTGCACATATATTGATTGATTTACAAATTGGTGTCAGTGTCAGGCGGTTGTCAATCTACTTTTTACAAAAAAGTAAATGTCTGTGTACACAGACAAAAGTTGTCTGTGTACACAGATAACTTTTGTCTGTGCCCACAGACAATTCTGTACTAATTGTCTATGACCGACATTTTGTGTACAAGTTGTGTACAACTTGTGTACCCCTAGCATGGTTGAATTGTATTACTATCATTTTTACCTTGGTGCTCAAGATAGTTTGGTTTTATTTTTTGTGGTATATCTCTACACGAAAATAAGTTTTTTGTAAAATACTTGAATGACCTCTCACACCTCAGCCTTGCATACAATATCCATAGTACTTTTTAACGGTGTTGATGGGTTGTTATCTCTCAGAATTGGATAAGGGCATCTTATGTAGAATTTTAATCTAATTGGATGGTTTAAGAGATACATAGAGTTGATATTGTCTTGAAAGCAAACGAGTCAGGCAATCAGTAAGGTAGTACGGAGTACTTTTTATAGAAATTTTTAAGGTGTTTTATTTCTCGGACCTGCTTAAAACTATGATTGTTTCATGAAGCTTTAAATTTTCTAGCTATAGTTTACCAAATGATTCAGCATATGTCCATCTGATCGTTGAAGCATTCAACATTATAGACTATTTGTATGTATTTGAGTGCATCCTTTATTGTATATTAATTCACACGGTTCTTGTAGAATTGTATGACTTCTAATATTAGTTGTACTAGTATAGCTCCCGTGCGATGCACGGTGTGTGAGTATTTTTTTTTAAATTGAGTGGTTGTTGTAAGAAATCTAAGGTAATATGAGATTGTTAAATAAATTCAAAGTGTGAAATGAACATAATAGTTCAACAGTACAACGCGGGTTAATGTTGTGACAAAAATGGCATAATGAGTACTAAATGTTGTTTAATATAATCAAGATTGTATGTTTCTTCTAAAAAAAATTGTATGTTACAAAACACCGGATATACCACATTGGTGGTCTCTTCCAGAGGTCTTTCATCTTCGCCTTAAATAAGTATTTCAATATGAAAACGATTTGTAGGCCTTGAGATAATGATGAATAATTGTCCATGGTTGATAACATTTTTTAATATTTTATATTTTTGCATTTGAAATCTAAGAAGGAACTCTAACGTTGATAATTTAAAGAGATCCTTGGCATTAAAACTTTTTTACCTACACTCTTGCAAATTAGAATTTCGTCATGTCACTCATCTATTAACATTTTTCAGATATCTAATCATTTAAGCCATTGGCAAAAGGTGTACCATTTTTTATGGGGGAAAGGTCAATAATAATCTCCTAGTATAACACCTGTGTAATACATGGTGGGTGATTTAATTTCTAAAATGCATTTCAATGTGAAAATGGAACGTAATATGACTATAAAAAGTAAAGTTTGACAATGAGACTACACAAAATTTGTAAGAACCAATCAATGTAAAATTGCAATATAAGTTTTTTATTGTTCCCAAAATAGAGCTAATTGTAAACCACAATTCATAATGTAGAATCAATATTACATGTCATGAAAAACTTCTTTCAACCCTAAAGATTCCTTTCATGGTGTTATCTCGTATTTTGTCATAATTGTTTTGATAAAGTATTTTGAGAACGCCACAATTCATAACTCTTGGCACAATAATTCATACTTGACCTTCAGTTTTCTTGATGGTCATTTATAAGAAATCATTATTGGATATTGTTACTTTCAACATAATAAATGAAGTATGACATGTGAAGGTGCCAAGGAGAGATTTTGTATTAAAGCACTTTGCCTTGATATTGAAGATTTTGCCTTTATATAGTGATAAATAGATTTTGAAACATGCAAGATTCATAAGCCTTGATATTGAAGCATACGGAGTACAATTATTAATGATTAAAACAATTTTTCAAAAGACATATCGCCTGTATGCCCACGATGATATGACCTAAGCTGACATATACCACCTCTCTCTAATAAAATCTGGTCAAATTTTCTTTTTAGGTCATCCCAAAAAACTCAATCATTTCCATTTAAAGTAATAAATATGTGGCTAGAGTTATATCTCTTTCTCCACTGCACAAATTTTAACCACACAGTTAATACTTTATTATTCTACACATAATTCAACTTTGACCAAGTTTTATGAGATGAATTTAGTATGTATAAGTTGTCAAAAGAGAAAAGGTTCTTTCAATTATGGTGAAGAAGTTATTTCAAAATGATGATTGAATTAAACTTTTTGCAAAAAATGATTCCTCACTATTTAGAATTTTTATTTTGAATTTCTATTGCAAAAGTTAATACTATTTATAATATTTTGCCATAGTTCTAGCATATATGTATATATAATGTAATTGCAGGAGTTGTCACATTTATGAATTAATAATCAAATCATAATTGTACTCTAGAGAATTAATTCATAAATGTGACAATTATCTTTAAAAAACCGCATCATGTCCCACATAATTAATCACATAGTTCTAGCATAAATGACGACATAGCGAATTAATGTCCCTCAATAATTAAAAACTAACAGTTAGTTAAACAAAATTATCTTTTGAGCTAGTTGGGCAAGACATACTCACACTGTCCCACATAAAATTGGTCAATTGTACTGCTCTTGATTGATGACATATAAGGTTGACCAATTATATTTTTAATACGCTATTATTTAGAAGATGAAAATTCTATGAAAATATTACTATTTTCAAATGCTTTCATGAAAGTTTAGAAATGTTAAATTTCACTTAAATATAATAACTACAATTGCTACTCAAACTTTATTACATAGTACTAAGTATCATTTACCAAATTTTGTGGAGGAGAAAAGTATCAAATATTTTGTTTTTAAAAATCACCGGATTAAGCGAATCTAGTCATTCCATCATTCATCAAAAGGACCCTTACTAATTAAATAAAAAATTATTTGATTGGCAACTCAATTTAGAGTTTGGAAATACTTCCAGCCCGTTTGATAACCCTATTTTAGTTTGTCAGTCTTATCACCCTTATGAGTCACTTTTTATACTAAACATGTGATTTCTTACTTAAGTTGAAATTGAAGTTACATTTCTGGTTGAATTTGTTAACGTTAGTGTAGATGATCATTTAAGCTATTATTCCATAAAAAATTTCTAATTTTTATTAATAAAATATACCTTCAGAATAATTTTCTATAATTCATTAAACTCTCCCAATTTAGTAACTTCACTCATTTTTTTTTAAATAATAGCATATTTTATAAAATTTCATAAGCTATAGCAAATTTAACTGATTCAACTAATTGTAATCAGTGGCGGACCCAGAGATTTGTCAGAGCAGGGGCACACTAGACACTAAACTTACTCTATAATAAAATTTTCAAATGTAATAAAGATGGTAAAAAGTAAGAGAATAGCATAAATTATACGGAGTAGTTAATTACATATTATATAGTTCATTTCTGCAACTTTGGTAATCAATACTACGAGTTTTCATATTCTGAAAATGTTGCATAATAGTTTCATTATCAATACTTTTAAAAACATCTCTGTCGATGTAGCACATCAAGCAATATGTAAGATAATCATCTAAAGAAACTTACAAAATACAAATGAACGGGTGATTGGGTGGTGCAGCGCTGCAGAGGTAGTTTAGCAAGGCAGCGGCAAGCCCCAGAAAGAGGCCAGTGTAAACGTCCGTGAGGGTTTATATTTTGGAAGTTTCCCCCCTTTTGCCTTGTAGAGTAATAGTGAGTTATTAGTGGATTTCATTTTTAAACTTTTACTTGTTTTAGATTACTTTAAGATGGCCGTACATTAATTTGGTTACGGTTTACATTTTAACTTTTTGGGTTTTCAACCCTTAACTATTTTCTATCAAAAGAAAAAAAACCTTAACTATTTTCTTCTCCTTTTTTGAGATTTTTTATTTTAATTCAGCTCAAATTTAAATAATGTGTATTAACTTTTAATTTATATAACTGTAACATTTCAGTATCTTAATTATCTAATATTGATAATTTTTTGTACGGGTTGGGGGCACTAATTTTACCCGAACTAGTAGTAGTGAAATTCTGACCGCAAGCGGGGGCATTGATTTTACTCTAAGTACTAGTAGTGAAATTCCTGATCGAAAGCGGGGGCACTTGCCCCCCTAGGCCCCTCCCTAGGTCCTCCACTGATTGTAATATGGGGTCTTAATTTTAATTTTTTATTTATAACAAAACTAAATTTTCAGTTCATTAAAGCACAAATTTAGTCAAAAAAAATCATTAAAGTTGCAAATAGTAGTACCCTTTAAATGTGGGATGCTGGATATAGGGCTTATCTTTTTGGGCCTTATAAACATTACATCTAGGGTTCCGTACAACATCTTTCCCCAAGCTCCCCCTCCACGCCCTTCGAACATCCAGAAACATCCTGTCCCAATTCCTCTTCCATCGCAAACTCGATGGTAACCTCTACACTATCTGACATCCTCCAAACACCGCATCCTCCACCATACTATCCTTCTCTCATCCACTTCTAGCTACTTGGCTATCATTCAAGCAAAATCTATGTCGTCATGGACCGACGGTAGCAGGATGTTTTACGTCCGACGAAAAGTGACTGATACCTAAAACGATGAAGCTTCTTAAAGATCGGGCTTAAGAGAGTCATCAAAGGTACGACTCCTACAATTTTGAGTTTATTGATTTGAATTTCAAACTGAAGACCTTATTTTTCAGAGACGGACGAAGATTCTGCTGAAATTTTAGACAAATCCTAACCGAGATGATGCTGAGAGTCAAATGCTCCTCAAAATTATTCTTGGTATTTCGGACATTTGGTAATTCAATTGTAATTAATGCAATCGATGGTCTTTTACTGTTTTAATGGTCGTCACTTGACTACTTTGCAGATTCCATTGATGGTGTCTTATGCATTATTTTAACAGCTGCTTGGAAAATGTAATTGGAATGCTGCAATTTGGGTAAACTCCATCCAGGGCCGGTCCTGGGGCATGGGCAAAGGGGCATGTGCCCAGGGCCCATTGCACCTCTAGGGCCCATAAATTTCCCAATTATATATACATATGTATTTCAAATATACATACAATATATTATTTATAAAATAAAATAAAATACAACTTACTTCCTCTATCCCATTTTGGTTGTCCTACTTTCCTTTTTGGATTATCCCAAAATGAATGTCTTGTTTCATTTTTTGGTAAGAAATATGTGATCCTTACCATTTCACTTTATTTTACTCAAATCCCAACCACAACTTTTACTCTTCAACCACTTTATTAATAATCGTGCAAATTGAAAGTGGACAACCAATATGGGACGGAGGTAGTATAATTTTTTTGATGCTTTCAATTCGTTATTCAACATCTACAATATACTCGTACAAGTCTAAAATTTTGTAACCTCCACACTAGAATTCCTTGGGAATAGACTTCATCATTTCTTTGGAATCATTAAAGGTTAATGCATAAATGTTAATCTTTCCATTTACTTCTCTCATGTAATTCCATGATTCATTGATAGCATTTTGCTAATTTCTTTTGGTTCTCTCATGTAAGTGAAAAATTGAATTATAATATTCACAATTTAGAAACTTGCACTTTTTTTATATAGTGAAAACATGATTTAAAATATGAAAATGTTACTCCATAACGATATAACTTTCAAGTCTTTGACTATTTAAAATTCTATATTGCAAGTAAAAACTGCACTAATTAATTTTGCCTATAGTTTTTTTATAAAAAAATATAAACATTCACACATTGTTCATAAGGCCTACTTTATCTGTATTGTCCCGGACCCATAAAATGTCAGGATCGGGCCTGACTCCATCCTAATATCACTATAGTTAATGTTTAAAATCTACAGTGTTGACTTGAAATCAATAATTTGTTTAAAGTGGCTAATTAAACTCTACCTAACATGTCTTATTCTTAATAATCCTAATTACTGACTGATGGATAGTCTACCGGGGGGGGGGGGAGGGGGTATATATCCGAGGGGTTATTGCTGAGAATAACTTAGAGAGAAGTCAGAGCAAAAGTAAGTAAGAGAGAGAGTGTATTCAGTCTGAATGTCGTGGTTACAAATGGGGAAATGGGGGGCTATTTATAGTAGCAATAAATGCCGGACAGGGACACGTGTCAAGCATCCATTGGCCGAGAGGTCACCTCATCCGGTTGGCGCTGGCAAACGCATGTGGCCGCATTTAATGCGGCTGTTGGATGAGACGTTGCACAGGGTACGGTGATCTGTACGCGCGTGAAGAGGAGATCTTGTGTAGTGAGATGCCTTCGGCTGTAGAGCAGTAGCCGAGGGCTTCTCAAACCGAGGGCACCTCGGTGCCGAGGGCTCCCGATGTCAGGGCTACTGTTCTCGCCGTTTTCTCCCAGTTTCTTGGTTTGCTTGAGAAACCCGTCCTGTGAGAGTTTAGAGCCTTCGGCCAGGGGGTCGATGGCACCCCTGGTGCGCTGTGGGCTTCTTGGTACTCCGGGCGCCATTATTTGGGCCTGTTGGGCCTTCTGGGCCTGTTGGGCCTTTACTGGAGTAGTGGGAGTCTGTGGGCCGGGGGTTCCCGGGCCATATACTCCATCAGGAGTCCCTCACTCCTTTTGTCGAAAGGTACTTGAGGGAAAAGGAGTAATTTGTGCTTGCCCTTTGATGTTGTCCTGTCGTAACCTCTGAAGTTGGTGAGGAGTTGTTGCTTTCACGCCCCTGCCGAAGGCAGTCCCTCAGTTACCCACATGTCGGGACTTGAGGGCTCGCTTTGCCGTTTTGTTGGAATTTTTCACCCATTTTGTAATTTAATGATTTTCCCGAGGGGGTTCTCCAGTCCCCCACTCCTTGAGGCACTTGTAAAGTGGTGAAAAGGAGTAGAGTAGTTGCGTTGCTGTTGTGGGCCGAAGGCTGACGCTTTTCGTTTCATTTTGGGGGGATGCCTCGTTAAAAACCTCATTAGGAAAAACCCTGTGGGAAAAAATCTTAGTGAGGGAAAAAGAGTGCACCGAATTCCCCCAATGATGAATCGAAAATGTGAAACCTTGGTCAAAAATGGAGAATAACGGTAATGGCGAAGGCTCTTCTTCTTCTGAGTGCTCATGTGTTGATTGGCCGAAGGCTTGCTGTTGATGTCCTGGGGGCTCCGAAGGGGAGCCCCTCAATCTGGGGATCGAGGGCCTGATGGATGAGGGCAGCAGTGGAGTTGTTACCGGGGGGTCCACTGTTTGTTGATTAGTTGGTGATGAAGATACCCGAGGGCTCCCCATTACCTGTGTGCCATAGGCTATCCGTCAATGAGGCAACTCCCCGGGGGCTACCCGGTTTTTATAGTGCTGAGGGGGAATCCCCGAGGGGTGCCCTGATATGAAGCCCTGGGTTTCTGAAGGAGTGATCCCGAAGGCGTCTGTTATGTGCTGTGTGGGGCACAACCTGGGGGCTTCTCTGGGTAAGTGTACCCAGAGGCTCTCCTTGATGAAGTGGAGTGAAGTAGAAAACCCCGGGGCTTCCAGAATATAGCTGTTGGAAATATAGCCGTTGGAATATGTAGCGTCAGATTTATAGCCGTTGGGGGGGGGGGGGGGGGGGTACACGTGGAGTGTAGCCGTTGGCTGCTCGTGGGCGGGCGTCACCGGTTGGGTGAAACGACGGTGCGTAATGATGGCTTTGGCTGCTGGGAGCCCGGATCTCGGCCCAAGCCCGGATCTGGGAGCCTATAAATACCCCAAGCCAAGGCCATTCCTTCTTTACGCATCCAACATCCCTAGCGAAGCTCTGCCAAAAATTCTAGAGAGAGAAACTCAAGCCTTCGTTCAAAACTCAGCTTTCAGAGGTCAGTTCTCCTTCCGCCCTTAGCTCCATTTTAGTATTTAGCTTTTGGCCTTAGGGTTAGTCTTTAGGACCCTTCAGGAACCCCCCCTTTGTACGAGTTTCCCGACCCCTCGCCTTTTAGAAGTAATGTCGTCAGCTAGTGATTCCCAAGACATCTCCGGGGAGGCTTCAGTGAACGTTGAAGTGCCGTCTGACGTGGAATCCTCGAGCGAGCAGCTCTCGGTCATCGATGATAGGGCCGTGGCCGAGGCGATACAGGGTGACCTTCGGCTTGAGCTCGAGGCCGAAGACTTCGAGCAGGTGAACGCGGATGAGGAGCTTGCTATCGCCTGTCAAGTGGCCGAGGACGAGGCCCAGAAGGAAGGCCTGAAGGTGACTGTAGCTATCCCTCCCCCTCGGTGTGGTACTGAAGCTGGGAGCTCCCGGCCTATAGACGTTGTACCCCTCAGTGTGGCCCCAGGGCAGAAGAGAAAGAAGGCGAGGATGGCTCCGAAGAAGAAGCAAGCTGCCGTCGACGCTGGCCAGCCACTGGGACTGCCCGAGGGCTATTCTTTCCTAAATACGGCCGCCTTGGAGGTCAAGAATAAAGCTACCCGAGGGGAAATGATGGCGGTACAATTTTTGGTAGGGCCTTCGGCGCAAGTGGTAGAGCCAAAGCCGGATGATGTGCTCCTTCGTGCCCCCGACGGCTGTTTCGCCGTACATCTGCTTTCGGTGGAGCTGGGTCTCAGATTTCCCCTTCATCCTTTCGTGTTGGAGTACCTACGCTTCGTCAAGCTAGCCCCCTGCCAGTTGACCCCGAACAGTCACTCATATCTGGCAGGGTTCCTGTCACTGTGCCTCAGCCGAAGGGTCCCCCCTACTCTGGAGCAATTCTTCCTGTCGTTCAACTTATGTCGGGGGGGGGGGGGGGGGGGGGGCATTCGAATGCCGGGGGCTATGGTAATTTGCAGCAGCTCCCGAGGTTCAGGATTTTTGATGAGGCGCCTTCGTCTCACAAGGGGTGGAAGGACAAGTTCTGTTATATCCGGTTGGCCGAGAACCCCTTCTCCGCCCCGCTTGGTGATAGGTTTCGGCGGCACCTGAAGGCAGAAGGGTATGCCCTCGAAAAAAATGGGCGGGTGTTGTCCAAGAAGCCGGAGGGTTCCGATAAGCATGTGTCCATCAAAAGCGCAACGCTTTCCAGTGAGTTGTACAAGCTCGGCTTCCGTCGGTACCGGCTGATGGGGGAGAAGGAGGAAGGCTACCCCATGATTGATCGCGTATATGAGAGTGCCGAAGGTTGTTGTAATGCCGAGGGCTTCAATTTTCATACTTAGAAAAATCTCTTCCCCCCTTTTTTTTGCTTTGTTGTAGTAGTGAACTAACCCTTGTGTGCCTTCTTGTGTTTCAGGACCAGACATGGACGCTCGGAACCTTGTCAAGATGAAGAGGCAACTTGCCAGGGAGGAGCAGAAAAAGGAGGCCCCCGCACAGCAGAGGGCGGTCGATGAGATCTTCCCCAAGGCGGGAGGGGCCGAAGAGGCCAAGGAGGTGGGGCCCGTCCCGGAGGCCGCCGTCGGGGGCTCCCCCGGTCTGGAGCCGAAGAGGAAAAGGCTTGGGAAGGACCCGACACAACCGGAGGGGAAGAAGAAGAAGAAGGGGGCCCCGGAGTCGAAGGAAGCCCCCGTTGTGGTCGTAGACGAATCTTCTCCTCCCAAGCCTTCGGGTCAAGCCACTGATCTGACATGGCCCCTGGACAAAGTCCAATTCTCCATCACGAAGGGGACTGCTATCATGCACGGGACCCTGAACCCGAAGGAGTTTTTGAGGGGTGCCACCCCTCCGACCGATAAGTCTGTGCTCTCCCGTCAGGCCGACGATGTCCTCTGCTCTAAGGTTCTGATGGCCTCGGTTACGGTAAGGTTCCTTCCCTCTCTTTTGTAGATAACTTCATTCTTTACATGTGTAGTGGCTAAACCTCCGGTAATTCATGTCTGCTTTCAGGCGAGCCTTGGCCTTGGCGAGCTGGTCCAGAGGATAGAACAGCATGACTCGGAGAAGAAGAAAGCCACTGAAGCACTGGCTGAGGCCCGAAGGCAGCTCAAGGAGGCCGAGGACGCTCGCAAAGCTGAGCAAGAGGCTTTCAAAGAAATCCTCGAGGGCTCCAAGACGGTGGCCAGAGCCGAAGGCAAAGCAGAGGCGGAGAAGGCTGCGGCCGATGCTGCCAAGAAGGCCGCGGAGGATGCCGAGGAGGCCCGGATCAAAGCTGTCGCCGAAGCCCGGGAGGACGCTGTCGCCGCTTTTGCTGAGGAGGGATGGAAAGCCGAAGGCCGGCAGGAATGGGTGGCCTCGGTGGTGGAAGCTTCGGTGAACGAATGGGTGAAAGGCCCAGGCGCAATGTGGTTGGCCCGAAAGGGGAAAGAGTATTATGACGGGGGTGAGTACTTTACTCAGGCCCTTGTATATCGAAGGCTATCCCGACATTTTGGGGTGGACCCGAAGGCCTTTGATCCGGCATCCTATGGTCTCCCTCCCCTTCAGCCAGACCCCAGGGTTCCCCTCCCTGAAGGCGTTGCGAGGCCTGATTTGGAAGACTCCCTGCTGATGGCCGAGGGCAGTGACGAAGAGGAGGAAATTGGGGATGACGTTGCGTCAAAACCTGCAGTAGAGGACGCCTCCGGGAATGCCGTTGTTGATTCGTAACCTGTACTTAGTAAATTTTTTAAACTTCTGTTGTAATGAACACCATTGATCCTTCGGCTTCGGCCCGTCTGTAACAGTTACATTTACTCCTTTTTTGTGATGATTTATGGGTGAGTGCTAGCCTTCGGGCATTGTATGTATACATGACTTGTTCGCTTTAATTCATTCTTCCTTGAATGTATGCCATCGTTTCTTCTTGAGTGTATGCCTTCGCCCTTTTTTGAATGTATGTTTAGGACTTAGAATATTTTCCAAGTGTTTGAATACAGGTGTAGCCTTCGGTAGTTGGGCACCCTTTGCTGGATATACAACCGAGGGCACAACTATAGCTAGGACTTAGAAAATTTTTCTAAGTGTTGATTCCTTGTGTACTGCAGCCTTTGATTGATAGGTAGCCTTCGGCTTTTGGGTCCCTTGAGATGAGGGTGAAATATGTAGGACTTAGAAAGATTTCTAAGTGTAGATTTTCCCTTGGGAGCCTTCGGGAGATGGCACCCCTTCTAGATGTATGAGTAGTTTATCGGGGGAAAAATATGTAGGACTTAGAAAATTTTCTAAGTGCTGTTGTATCGCATAGCCTTCAGCTGTCATATTCCCTTAGTTGTAATATTGATTGGGCCGGGGGCCAAATCTTTAAGATTTAGAATTTTTTCCAAGTGCTGCTTCCTTATGTCGCCTTCGGGTGATAGGTGCCCTCTGACTCTGCAACGCTCTTGCGAGATGCCCGGGGGCTACTCATTTAGGACTTAGAATATTTTCTAGGCGTAAATTGATGTTGAGCTTCCGGATGTAGATCCCTCCGGGTATATGAATAGGACCCCTCGGGTGATCGTGAGGCCCTTGTGTTGTATGAGTATTCGACCGAGGGCCAAATATGTGGGCCTTAGGAAAATCTCAAAGTGTGCTGTAGATGTTGAACCTTCGGTCAGTGAGGAGCCTGTCCGGGGGGCAGATATTTTGGGATAAGCCCCCTCGGTTGGCCTTTGATGATTTGTAATAGATGCCTTCGGTTGTCTGGTGACATATTAACCTCCGGTTGCTGTCATTTTCCAAAAGTGTGGACTTAGGAAAAGTGTGGAATCCTGTTGTTGTGAAGAAAGCCAATGAGGAGTGTGTGCCCTCGGCATACACTTTGAAAAGTTGTAGAGTCTGACTTAGCCAGTTATGTCCCTTGTAATGGGGTAGGGGCCCTCGGTATTAGTGCATAACAGATGCCTTCGGTATTTGTTTGAAGTGCCGTTTAGTGGACCTTGGATAGTCCAGTCCCTTTGTATTGTTGAAGCCTTCGGTGCTTGTGTGACCGGGTGTGACCAGGCAGTGGACTTAGCCGTTTCTTGATGCTATTTGTTTGAGTAGTATCCTTCGGGAAATAGGAGTCTTCAATTACCGGAGGTGTTCCCCGTGGGGAGCCCTCGGCATGTTGTGATCTGTTGGAGTGTACTCTTTGATTTCTCGCCGAGTCTACTCCCCTTCACCCCCCCCCCCCCTTTTTTTTGGTTGGTGGTGAAGGGAAGGCATCAAGAAACTTGGTTTCTTGGTAAGGCTGGGCCTATTAGGAGACCATCAGAATACACCAATGGCTCTCCTCCCTCGGGTTAACCTTCCGAGTTCCGAGGGGATCGAGGGTCGTTTCCTGGGTACAAGATATGATGGTCTGTAACCTGCCTCCCCTTGGGGGATGGCGCGGAAAGCGCCTCATTTTTGAAAGTCGTCCCCTCGGCGCTAGACATAGTCCGTGGCCTGCCACACCCTTAGGGGTGGTGGCGCGGGGAGCGTTTCGGTTTGGAAGTCGAATCTTGGGCATTTCTCGTGCCTGTCATACCCTTGGGGTAATGACGCGGATAGCGTTCCGTTTTTGAAAGTCGAATCCTGGGCATTTCTCATGCCTGTCATACCCTGGGGGTAGTGACGCGGAAAGCGTTTCAAGGAAGGGTTTTCATTTGCACACTAGTTGCAAATGGCCGGGGGCACTACGTGCCGCCGGCACCGATGGTGGCGCCTTCGGTATATGCGTCCTCGTGGGGTACGGCTTTTAGAAACAACACTTGGTGTTAGTTTCGATGTGTAGCCCCCGGTACTTGGTACCGAGGGGTCTTCTGTAGGAACACTTGGTGTTCTCTTTTGTTGCAGTTGATGGAGGTGTCTACCCTCGGTACTTGGTACCGAAGGGTCTTCAAATGAGACACTTGGTGTTCTTATCTTTTCTTTTTTGATGTTGAAGGTGGGGATGTACCCTCGGTACTGGGTGCCGAAGGGAAATAAAACACATGGCGTTCCTTGTCGTTGGTGACGGGAGTTCCCACCCTCGGTACTTGGTACCGAGGGGTCTTGTTCGAGAACACATGGTGTTCTCCTGTTGTTGTAGGTGTTGATGGTGTCCGCCCTCGACACTTGGTGCCGGAGGGGGTTCTTCTTGTGGTGAGGCCTGGGGCCTGTAGTCAGTATGAGGGCGTGGTGTCTTGAATGTGTCTTCATTCCTCAAAAGTGGAGGCCTTGGGCCATAGGATAGTACATTCATTAGTTATGAGGGCTTGGCCGCTCTTACATTATTGGTAAAATTTAACTAAATGGTGTACATTCCAGTGCCTAGGGACCTCTTTCCCGTTGGGGCGTTTGAGCTTGTAAGTCCCAGGTTTGATGATGGCTGCTATGATGTAGGGGCCTTCGAATTTTGGTGCCATTTTTCCTCCCTCGGTTGGTTGGCTGGCTTCCCTCCTCCGGAGGACATAGTCCCCCACTTGGAATTCTCTGGTGCGAACTTTGGCGTTGATGTAGCTTTTGATTTGCCTTCGGTAATTTTCTGCCCGGATGAAGGCCTGCTCCCGGCGTTCTGAAATGAGGTGGAGGTCGAGGGCCATGTTGCTGTCGTTGACCTCGGGGTCATATTGGATCACCCTTCGGGTGGGAAGGGTGACTTCCGTAGGAGCTTTGGCTTCAAAACCGTAGCAGAGGGAGAAGGGTGTTTCACCTGTTGCTCGCCGAGGGGTGGTGCGGTAGGCCCACAGGATGTTGTGGAGTTCTTCCACCCAGCCACCGCCCTCGGCCTCCAGCTTCTTTTTGAGGCCCTCGAGCAAGGTCCGTTTGGCATTCTCTACTTGCCCGTTGCCTTGAGGGTAGGCAACGGAGGAGAAGGTGTGTTTGATGCCCCAGGCCTCCAGAAGGGCACAGAAGGGGGCTGCCTCAAATTGTGTCCCATTGTCGGAGATGATCTGCTGGGGGACGCCAAACCTTGTGAGGATGTTCTTGAGGACAAAATGACGGCACTTCGCCTCTGAGATCATGGCGAGGGGCTCAGCCTCCACCCACTTGGTAAAGTAGTCGATGGCCACAATGATGTACCTGTTGTTGGAGGTACCCCTCGGCAGAGGGCCCACAAGGTCTATCCCCCATCGAGAAAAAGGGACAAATGTGCTGATGGGGGCATAGTTGACCGCTGGCCTGCCGGGGGCTTTCTGGAAATGTTGACATGCGGTGCACCTCCGGGCAAGGTCAGCACAATCTCTGGCCATGGTTGGCCAGAAGTAGCCCTGGAGAATGAGCCTTCGGGACATGGAGAAGGGTCCCTGGTGAGCTGAGCAAGTGCCACTGTGCACTTCCTCCATTGCGACCTCGGCCTCATCTTGATGAAGGCATCGAAGTAGCGTGCCATTGTAAGATCGTTTGTAGAGCCTTCCATCTTCGATGGTGTAGCTAGGAGCCCTCAGCTTTGCCAGTTTAGCGCGGGGCTCATTCTCGGGCAGCTGCCCTGTGGAGATGAAGGCGGTGATATCTGAGATCCAATCCTCTTGGCGTTGTTGTATGTTCATAACGGGGCTCACATGGATACTTGAGAGGCTGAGTTCCTCAATTTTGGCAATTTTGGAGATGTGCTCGGGGGAGTCGGCCGAGAGCTTAGATAATACGTCGGCCTCGGAGTTCTGAGCCCTCGGTATTTGAGTGAGAGAGTGTGCCTCAAATACCTTAAGCAACTCCTTGGCCGCTTCCTTGTATTGTTTCATTCTTCCCTCCTTGGCCTCATATTCCTCGGAGATTTGGCCAACGACCAACTTGGAGTCACATTTGATGTGGATCTGCCGAGCCCTCATGTTGGCAGCCAGCCGAAGGCCACATAGGAGGGCCTCATATTCGGCCTCGTTGTTGGAGACTTTGAAGGAGAAGCGGATTGCATAGTAGGCTCTGAAGCCCTCGGGAGTAATGAGGACTACCCCTCCCCCACATGCTTTGGTCGCGGAGGAGCCGTCGGTGTAGAGGGTCCACTAGTCGTCCGAAGTAGCCGAGGGCTCCCCGTCCGTGGTTGCCCTTGCGGTACATTCCGTTACAAAGTCCGCCAGGGCTTGGCCCTTGATGGCAGGCCTTGGACGGATGTCAATGTTGTACTGGCTCAAGAAGATAGCCCATTTCACCATGCGGGAGGAGCTGGTGGGGCTCCTCATGAGAACGCCGAGGGGTTGATGAGTGAGGACCTGAACCGGGTGAGCCTGAAAGTAGTGGCCCAACTTTTTTACGGTCCAAACGATGGCTAACACCGTTTTTTCCACAGGAGAGTACCTAAGCTCGGCCTCCCTTAGGGTCTTGCTAACGTAGAAGATGGCATGTTGGATGCCGTCTTCCTCCCGGATGAGCACAGAGCTGATGGCCGCCGGGCTGACCCCAAGGTAGAGATAGAGGGTCTCCCCTACCTTTGGTTTTGAGAGCACAGGGGGTGAAGATAGATATCGCTTAAGTTCGTCGAAAGCCCCCTGGCATTCCGGAGTCCATAGAAAGCCAGCCGTCTTCCTCATGATCTGGAAGAAGGGTAGAGATTTCTCCGCTGATTTAGATAGAAAGCGGTTGAGGGCTGTCAGGCGGCCCGTCAACCGTTGAACTTCCTTCACATTGCGTGGGGGCTCCATGTTGATGATGGCCTGGATCTTCTCGGGATTGGCCTCAATACCCCTTCGGCTCACCATGTAGCCCAAGAACTTGCCCCCTTGGACGCCGAAGGTGCACTTCTTCGGGTTTAGCCGAAGGTTGAACTTTTGCATGATGGCGAAGATTTCTCGGAGGTCGTCAGCATGGCTGGAAGATTGTTTGCTCTTGACGATCATGTCGTCGACATAGGCCTCCATGATGCGCCCTAGGACGGCTTGAAAGACCCGGGCCACCATCCGGGTGTAAGTGGCCCCTGAGTTCTTTAGG